ACTCAGGGCAGATGCCTTAGCACACAGGCATTGGAGAATGTGACGTTAGAAAACCAACAGATGTTGGCAAATCCAGGCAAGGGCTTGGATGTCCTAAGCACATGTACTCTCAAAGGCTGGTTTGTCAACTTCGTGGGAGAACAGCTTCTCATGGGGCTTGGCCTGTGCTCAGATGTGGCCTCTACAACTGGCACACAAGATCCACCTCCTAGCTGCGTGTCCACTGAACACGCTGATGAGTGAAACATGCAAAGATGTCCTTTAGAAAATAAATGAATCAGGAGCCCTGCACCCATTATCAGACTTTTTTATGCAGCCACCCATGGGCCCATTGAGCTGCCCCTTGCCTGTCTGTCCCTAGACACTGTGACACAGGGTGCCTCATTTTTTTAGTGACTGAGGCTTTCTATTCTGGCTCAGTAACTGCAGCTATCACAGAATTAAGTAATGACAAAGTGAATTATTACCCAGCCCGGCTTCAGCTGGGGATGTAACCTGCAGCTGAGATACCTCACTGTTAGATCACTTGCATGACTGTCTAGGCAGGGACATGAAAAATGTCCCCTATAATTGGTCAGCTCAGAGCCATACATCCTCAGAGTCTTGACTCTACACTTCACAGGGAATAATGTTATTCTGTTGAGAAGGGGAAGAGGGTATAATTAAATTCCTCTTAAATGTTACGTTCATCCTGGTTAATCAAAAATTAGTAGCTCTTAAAAAAATAAACACAACTCAGCTCCCCAGGAAGCTGACAGCAGTTCCCATGGCCTGTTTAATTACACAAAAACAAAACAAAACGTGTTCCTCTGCCTCTGGACTGTGGAATTAACCAAATAAGATATTATGGTGGCCGATTCAGGGTGTTGGGATTGAAGGTGATTTTTAATTTGCTCTGTTAATTTTCTACAATAAGCATATATTTCTCATTAAAAAGCATTCACATAACTAAAAAAATATGGGATTAGATTCTCAAAACCTGTAAACAAAAGAAACGGATGACAACTTATCCCAGCCTCTGACTCTCACTCTACTCCCCAGAAGGGAGCACTGTACTTGGTCGGTTGTGTGTCCTTTCGGACGACCCAAGAAATTTTCCTTTTTCCTCGTATCACCTATTATATTTGGAACCATCATTTTTTTATTTTCTAGCCACTCCCTAAGATGAAGGCCTTGTTTGTCTGATTCCCCTAATGTCCCCAGTAACAACAGTGTCTGGCACACATGGGTGCTTGTTCAACAATTGTTGAATATCCTAAAGAAGAAAAGAATATGTATGGGGAGGAAACATGCTATTTAAAACCATAGGGTCTTCTAAAGAGAGAAGCCCATTTTGGCCTTTCAACACATTTTCCTCTATTAGAAGTGAGCCTGAAGCTCACTGGAGGCAGGACCTGGAGAGAATTAAATTGTCCTGTAGAAGGTCTTTGTTTCTTTGCTCTCAAGAGAGAATAGTGACAACATGCATGAACACCATCTGTGATGAGTGAAAGAAGCCAGGCCTAAAAAGAGTATGTACTGTAGGATATTCAATTTATATGAAACTTTAGGGAAGGCACAGTAATCTATAGTGACAGAAAGCAGACCAGTGGTTACCTGGAGATGGGGTACAGGAGGCAGAAGGGAAGGTGACTAAGGGGAATTCTTGGGGGTGCTGGGTATGTGCAGTAGTTTGATTAGGGTGATAGTGTTGTGGGTATGAACATTATGTCAGAACTTATCAAATTATACACTCTAAACATGTGCAGCTGATTGTATGTCAACCATATCTCTATAAAGCTGTTGTTACAAAATGATAAGGGTGCACATAAGGGGAATTAGACAGAGGGGTCACCATATGTGCTGAGGTTGGGGTGATTTTGGGGGATAATGTGTCTTGGGAAAAATACAGAGGTGAGACAGTGAGAGGAATTTGCAGTTAAGGGCTATCTGGGGCTCAGATTGAAGTAATTTGATGTGATGTAATGGCATTCTCTCCAACATCGTCAATTAAGTGGACCTTGTGCACCAGATTCTGATGATGATGGTGAGTGTGCATGTGTGTGTGCCAAAAGGAAATGAGGAAAAGGGCACTGTGGAATGTAACAGACTGCATGGACATGATAGTGAGGTAATACAGAAACAGAAGTAACTTGTCAGAAGTGGACCCTTGGGACCAGAAGTGACCCCTAGAAGTGGAGGACCTCCTTCTCCAGCCCTCTGGCATTTGCACAAATCTTGGGGAAGCTTTTGGTTTGCTACAGGGCACCAAATCAGGATTTATCACAAGTTTATTTAGGGCAGGCAGATTCCAACTGACAGCTGGATGCCGCCCCCACACTCAGTGGCTTTTTGTTGAACGTGTCTAGGAATATTATTTTGATTTGTTGTCAGAAAAACAACTGCTGCTATTTTGAGTACTGACAACAGGAGGTGCAATGATGGATGGGCTGTCATCGGGTGGGGCTCAGATCACCTTTCATCTGCTTGGCTTTTTTCACAACACCTGTGTTTTGGGGGCAAGTTATGCATTTAGCAGATGTTGGCTGATGGCTTGCTATGGGGTGGGCATTGTACCAGATGTCAAGATGGAAACAGTGAATGTAACTCAGACCTTTCTCCAAGAGCTCACAGTGTAGAACACAACACAGACAAATAAGATACCATCATATGGTAAAGGTTGCATTGCAGGGGTTGGAGAACTATGACCCACAGGCCAAATCTGGCCCTCTGCCTGCTTGTGTAAATAAAGTTTTATTGGAACACAGCCACACCTATCTACCAATGTGGTGCCTTTCTACAACAGCAGAGTTTAATAGTTAAGACAGACTGTGTAGCCTACAAAGCTGACATTACTTATATCATCTGATCCTTCGGGAAAAAAGTTTGCTCACTTCTTCTCTAATAGAAGCGCAGATGGAGCCAGAAGTTATGACTGAGCAATAAGTTTAGGAGTTACTGACCCTGCTTGCTATGAAATCCAGCTCTTAGTGGTCCAAGCTAGTGGGCTCAGTCAGGGGTGAGAGTCTTCCTTGTCCTGGCTTTGTGCTTCAGTGAGAAGCAGAATGGACCACTGAGCTACCTCTCTTTCCCCAGGAGGAAGGGACATATAGATGCTCACGACTCCTCATTAGATTTCTAAGGTGGCAGTGCCCTGAGCACCTGGGTGACACCATCTCTGCCAAGGTGGCCTCAGTGAAATTCAGCAGAGCAGAGGGACTTGTTCAGGGACACTGGCGGAGCGTGGAGACAGAGGAGCATCTTCTGTCATGCTCTCAAATCCAAAGGGGAGGCTCAAACCAAAGAAGAGTGTCAAGTGATAAAGAAAGGTATTTAATTAGCATTCATTCACAGTCTCTGGTGAAAATCTTCCCAGATTTTGTAAAGCAGTATTAAATATTAGCCTCTAATGATTCACTATAGGCTAAAGCCTGGTCAAAAATTGCCCTTGAAAATCACTTATTTGCAATTTATTCATTAATTAAAAATTTATCAAGTACCTACTATATGCCAGGTGCTGTTCAAAGCGAATGTGGCCCCTGCTCTCAAGAGGCTTCTAGGCCAGACATGGAGACAAGCAGTGATGGACAGGCAGGTGAGTGCTGTCCCTCCTTGTCACGTAGTTACAAAGTCACCTCCCATGCCCATTAGCTCATACAAACTACTGCTCCTAGGAAGCATGCAGGGTTAACTCCCTGTGAGACTCGTCAACCAATCAATCAATCAATACATAACCATCAATCACTAGACAAGTTTAGTTTGTTTTCTGTGTGTTTCTGTGTTTAATGTGAAAAATGTGGCATCAAATCAACCGTAAAAAGCACACTTGTTTATGGTGTCGGAGCTGAGACAAGAAGGCAGAGCTTGGTCTCTTTTGACCTCAGCTGGAAATGTGCATGTCGGGCAACTCAAGTATTTTTGCTGTTCTGTGCTTGTCTGCAAATGACCATGAAAGCGCCACAAAGATTTTGGGGTTATGAATCAATTTTAGCATGTAGGTGCATTTTGAAAAACAGAATGAGTGAATAATGAGGATCAACTGTGGTTCAAAGCAGAGAGAATGGTTTCCGTACAGTTCCTCAGGGGGAAGACACTTGAGGAAGGCCCCATGGTGGGAGCGGAGACAGCCAGAGGGAGACAGAGAGGAGAAAGGTGGGAGGGAGAGGCCCCCAGGAGGACGCTGCATGGGCAGTGCAGGGAAGAGGGAGACCAGTTCAGGCAATGGCTGTTGCCTGGGTGAATGGCAACATGGCTTAGATCAAGTTTGAGGAGCTCTAAGAAATGCAGATGTACTTGGAGATGGCCGCGCTAAGTCTAGCTGATGTGTTTTTCCAGTAACTAGACAGTGTGTGTTTTTAGTATTTGTGAAATATTTACTTTTTGAGCTAGGCACATTTAATTTTCAGACATTCAGAGTAAAAGATCAAACAGTAATCACTCGCCCCCAGATGCTCTTTGGCAGCTGCTAAGGGAACAGCTCATTTGTGGGTGCCCCGGGAAGGACAGTCGGACAGACATCAGTGTGGGCTCCGCCAGTGTCTTTTCATGTCCTCGCACCACTGTACCCCCTGGTCCTCCCACCTCTACAGATTTCAAAAGGAGCCCCTGACACACAGAATTCAAGAGAATGTAGAACAGAGGAGAAACCGGCCCTCCGGACACTGTCAGCTCACCTGATGAAAGCAAGGTCGCGCCTGGAATGGAATTTTAAAGAAATTTTATGGGAGCTTATAAAGAAGCTATACATTCTAGCAGGTGCAGAGTTTTATTTTTGCTTTGTTTTGTTTTTTGACTAGATGAATCAGGTTTATTATAATTTAGAAAAAATGTAAATCACCTCAGAAATACTACCCAAATCAACCCTAACTTGGGACAAAGTCTCCCGGTACCTAGAAAGCCCCAGGTTGCTGGATTATGTCATAATCAATGACGTCATCATTGGGGAAATTCTAAAGCTGCCCTCTGGTTTAAGCCTTTCAGGCCTTGAAGCCAGTGGGATGGAGAAACTTCCTGAGAGCAAGATGGCCCTGGACAGCACGTGGGCCCCGCAGACGGCAGTCATGGGGGATGGACCCGACGAGAGAAAGGGTGAACAGGCCCCTGTGACCCCCCAGGCCCTCCAGACTGCCTCCCTGAAGGAAGGACCCGCGAAGCGTGCAGTGTGGGTTCGCCGTACCTGTTCAAAGCCCGAAGAACCCACTCAGTCGGCAGAAGTCAAGGAGAAGCCCAAGGTAAAGGTGACCAAGGCTGTGGTCGTGGACCTTGGCACTGGCTACTGTAAGTGTGGTTTTGCCGGGCTGCCAAAGCCCAGCCACAGGATCTCATCGACCGTGGGCAAGCCCTACATGGAGACCGCCAAAACAGGGGACAACCGCAAAGAGACGTTCGTGGGGCAGGAGCTCCTCCATCCGGAGGTTCGCCTCAGGTTAATCAATCCTCTGCGGCACGGCATCATTGTGGACTGGGATTCTGTGCAAACGATCTGGGAATATCTCTTCCAGCAAGAGATGAAGATTGCCCCCGAGGAGCACGCGGTCTTGGTGTCGGACCCACCCCTGAGCCCGCACACGAACAGAGAGCGGTATGCGGAGATGCTGTTTGAGACCTTCGGCACACCTGCGATGCACATCGCCTACCAGTCCCGCCTGTCCATGTACTCCTACGGCAGGACCTCCGGCCTGGTCGTGGAGGTCGGCCACGGCGTGTCCTACGTGGTCCCCATCTATGAAGGCTATCCTTTGCCCAGCATCACGGGACGGCTGGACTATGCAGGCTCGGACCTGACAGCCTACTTGATGGACCTGATGAACAATTCTGGGAAACACTTCACAGAGGCCCAGATAGGCACCGTGGAGGACATCAAGAAGACATGCTGCTTCGTGGCCCTGGACCCCATGGAAGAGAAGAAGGTCCCAGCTACTGCGCACATGACCCAGTACACTCTGCCAGACGGGCAGGAGATAAGCCTGGGCCAGGAGAGGTTCCTCTGCTCAGAGATGTTCTTCAAGCCGTCTCTGATCAAGTCCATGCAGTTGGGCCTCCACACCCAGACAGTGTCCTGCCTCAACAAGTGTGACATTGCCCTCAAACGGGACATCATGGGGAACATTCTGCTCTGCGGGGGCAGCACTATGCTCAGCGGTTTCCCTAACCGTCTGCAGAAGGAGCTGAGCGACCTGTGTCCCAATGACAGCCCCCAGATCAACGTGCTGCCTGGAAGAGACACTGCGGTGTGGACGGGTGGCTCCATCCTGGCCTCGCTTCAGGGCTTCCAAGCACTGTGGGTCCACCGCTTTGAGTACGAGGAACACGGGCCTTTCTTCCTCTACAGAAGGTGCTTCTAAACTCTGGGGAAGTGTGGTTGCTGCAGCTTCCCTGTGCCCACTCTGCCGGGTGAGTGCCTCCCCGCATGCAGAGAGCTGAGCGCTGACTCAGCTCACTTAGGCAGTATTAAACAGTCTGTTCCCTCCACAGTGTGTTTCTCTGCTTCCTGACTCAATGAGGACGTACCTGTGGCTCTGCCTTGAAATATACATTTGCCAACACAAAAGCGGAAGTGGGGGTGGATGACAGAGGAAAAAGATGTGTCACATGTTAACTGCTTAAAAATTCTTGGGGGAAACTCTCTCTAAAATTGCACTGTCTCTTATTTTGTGTATTTCATACCTTAGGAACCACTGTATTGTTAAAATCTGCTTGGAAGTGAGGTGTAAGGATAGATGACATGCTGTTGTGACGTGTAAGAAGATTCCTTTTGATGAACACAGAAAGGAAGTAGGCTGTTGTGGTTCCACCTCCCACAAAGCACCTGAATACCAGGGTCTGGTCTCCAGGAGGCAATGACAAGAGTTGTCAGCATTATCTTGTAGACTTCTGTCTCTTAACAGGACCCAGAAATCTTCCTATGGTCTTGAGTCTCCTGCATACCCCAATCCCACCATGCCAAGGCGCACACACTTTCAAGCACTCATAGCAGAGCTGTAGCATCTCCACCACCCGGGGGAGGAGCCCTGCGGAACCACCCTCATAGCCTCCAGGTTGGCCTGGACAGCCTGAAAGACCTATTTACATGGCCGACCTAGGGTCCAGGCCTGGTGAGTAATCCCAGCCAGCGGGCACCAGCAGCTGGAGTAGGAAAGCAGAGGTAGCCACAGATGGGCCCCTGGAGTTCCTGCGGTTCATTGAGCATGTCTCAGCCTTTCCTTGGAGTGTCAGGATATCAGCTAAGAGTTGGGTACAATGACAGAGAAAGAGGTATGACAGGAGAAACTGCTCATCTCAGTTTCTGCTCAAATAGCTCACATGTCAACACGCGGTGACCAGTCACTGACAGGCTGGTTGAAGCTGGGTTAATTCTTAACCTTGGGACCTCTTTGCCAGGGTGATGAAACCCATGTACTCTCCTCTGAATACTATTTTAAAATTCATAAAACAAAATGCATAGCATTACAAAGGAAAACAATCATACAGAAATATATTCTCTTCAGATCTGTTAAGGGTCAAAAAGCCCCCACAGTGAGGGTCTGGAGGAAAGGGAGGAATGGGAGGTGGCTCCGGAGGGTGGGACTCTCCAGACCATCCTAGGCCTAAACATTACACTGTATTTTAAGTCAAAATTACACATAGAAGGCCAAACAACTGCATAGTCTTTTTCAAAAAACTTTTATGAATTTCCTCATCTGATCCTTACACAATCACCCTTGTAGAAAAAAAGAATGCTCACAAAAATTGAACAGTTTTAGTATTTGGAAGTCACGTAGTCTAGTGGTTCTCAAATGGGGGAAATTGGAACCCCCAGGGTACATTGGCAATGTCAAGATATTTTTGGTTGGAGTTGGGGTTAGAGCTAGGGCTAGGGCTGGGGTTATCATTTGGATTATGGAGAAGAGGGAACCCAGGAATACAGAGCGCTGCTTTAGTTGTGCCACAGGGCACAGTATTAGCTGTGGCTGCTCCACAGCACGTGGATATTTCTGGTTACCTAGCTTCCGAGATGTTCATGCTCACCCCAGTTACTATAAACGTGACAGGACAACCGGAGACTCCCAGGGCCCGTCTAGGCTGTGCCGCTCGTGAAGCACACAGGGTTATGGGCCAGCGAGCCTGGGGGCAGTAGCTAGTTTGCTTTCCAACTTATAGTTATCTTAAATTACTAAAAGTTTTCAGTTTTATTGGTTGATTTTAGTAAGAGGCGAGAGAGAGAGAGAGAGGGAGAGAGAGAGAGAGCAGTAGAGAGGGAGAGAGACAGCGAGAGAGAAACGTCAATTTGTTCCACTCATTTGTGCAGTCATTGGCTGATTGTTATATGCCCTCTGAACAGGGATTGAACTCACAACCTTCATGTATCAGGATGAAGCTCTAATTGAGCTACCTGGCCAGCGTCTGGGTGCAGATTAAAAAAAAAAAGGGAAGTTTCTTCTCTTATACAATAAAAGGAAGAAAAGTTTCTTGTTAAAAATTTTTGGCATAGACCTGGCTGGATGCCTCATTTGGTTGGAGCACTGTCCTGCACACCAAAAGACTGTGGGCTCGATCCTCGGTTTGGGCGTGTATGGGAGTCCACAACCGATTGATGTTTCTTACACCAAAGTTTCTCTTGCTCTCTCTCTCTCACCTATTTTCTCTCTTTAGAACTGGTGAACATATCTTTGGGTGAGGATTAAAAAATTATTTGGCATAAATATATGTGAATTTGAATTGCATCCCTTCTACTCACAAACTATCCACCCTCAGCACATGGCAATACCTTGGTTCCTCATCTGCAGGCCCAGGTGACTGCATCCACTGCTGGGGGCCAAGAGCAGCGATGAGCCAAGGGGCAATCGGATTGCTAGTTAGTGTGTTTACTCGCTCGTCACATTTCCCTTTTCTAGTGCATTATGCTCTATTTTTCATTCATGGTTCCTATTCTTTTCCCCTAATCCTTTTAAACATAATTATTTTGCTCTGGCTGGTGTAGCTCAGTGGATTGAGCGCGGGCCTGCAAACCAAAGGATTGGGGTTTGATTCCCAGTCAGGGCACATGCCTGGGTTGCAGGCCAGTTCCCAGCAGGGGATGAGAGGCAACCATACATTGATATTTCTCTCCCTCTCTCCTTCCTTTCCCCTCTAAAAGATAAATAAATAAAATCTTTAAAAAAATAAACATAATTATAATCAAGTTTTTTATTTTTTTTAATACATAGATTTCTCTTCCTTTTCTTTTGGCCCCACTACAGGTTTCCATGGGTGAGGGGTTACCGGTTTCCCACTGTCTCTAACCCTTGCAGAAAGGGCACCGCCTCCGCCTAGCCCGCTGGATGCAGACCCCTGTCTGGCACAGGGGACCTTAACCTGCATCCCTGCCCCTGAGCCACAGAGTCACAGCCCTTAAATCTGTGGGAGGAACAGGCCCCAAAGTGGAAAGGACACTTTCACAGCATCGTGCTGAGTCATCTCAGGGCTGGATGCAACAGAAAAAATCAGTAACGTAACCCCAGTTTGCTTAACAATTTTGATATTTTGTTTAACATGAATCCGTGTACTCATTTTTATTAAAAAGTGCTGCATTGTAAGACGATCTATATTGAGGGCTGAGATTCTGGCACTCCCTTAAAGGGCGTGCCCATGGAGAGCCTTGTTCGCTTCACCAGAGTCCCAGAACCAGGTCCCCCCACCCCCGCCCAAGCCCTCCTTCTCTGCTCTGAGAGTCCGCTCCACCCAGAACCTCACTAGCCTTCTCCACGGAAGGGGCGACCTGTGAAGGTGTGGTAGAGACCACACCTCCTGCTCTGAGTTGGTCTCTACTGTTGATGTCTTGAAGACTGATGGGGCCTCTGCCCCACGCCACCTGTGCTTGCTCTGAGACAGACACGCTCTCAGTGCAGTAGTGCAATAACTGACTGTACAAAAGTTTGTCCTTCATATCACAAGCACCCAGCCTCATACAGTGCTATGGGGACAGCGGTGGCCTGACAGTTTACTATGGAGTTGGCATCTCCCTTCTGAACAAACCCCCATTTTGTGCAGTTTTGGTGGCGGGAGCTAACAACCCACTCCTGTTCTTGACTGGATGCAGCAGGAGTGGGTATGGGAGAGGCTACTCAGCTCCAGCAGATCAAATGCTCTTTTAGTGAGTGATGGGGGTTGGTGAGTGGAGCTCACGTTCACAGCATGGGAAGTAAAACGTAAGAACCAGGCTATTCCCTCTGTGGTACTCCCTACTGTCTCTCGAGTTCTATTTGGTGCCCACTCATTTTTCTCTGTGTATCCTCTGGCCTCTTGTCCGTTCTATGATCCCCAGTATTGATCTAATAAACTCTCATTTGATTCCACTTACCATAGCTGATGGTTTCTGTTGCCTGCAGTGGTGGAGCCGGACAGATTTTGTACTAGAAATAATTAGAGGTTCTGAAGTGTAAAGTCCTCTTACACTTGCAGGTAGTTTTTTTTTGCTTCATCTTACTTTACACATTCAACCAGATCCTAAACTAGTTTGGGTGATGGTCTCTGTGCATCATGGTGTTATTTGTATGGCATCACATGCTTTGTAGAGCATCTTAAAATATTGATGAATTTAATCCCAATGCCCAAACCAGAAACAGTTTTACTAGCAAAAAATTATGACTGTTTCACGTACACTCCAGAAATATTGCAAAATCAAGCATACTTGTCCACCAAAAAGCCAACCTGCAAACTTCCAAAAATCAGCTGTTTAAATCTTATCTTTAATAATGGTTCACCAAGTATCCATTTGCTCTGTCATCTCTGAGGACTTGCTTGCAGGCAAGCAAATGGTAGATGACGATAGTTAGGGGCTTCTCTCTATTCTTTTCAATTCTCCCAGGAATGGGAAGAGTCTGCCCTCACGAGATTTTAGCAGCAAGGTACCCTGGGCTGGTACCCTGTGGCCCACCAGCAGGGTTCTCCAGGAGCACAGGCAGAAACCCATTGCCATTCTTGGGAGCGGTGACTACCTTCCACTTTCATCACTACTGAGTGTTTCCATAGACTTCTTTGATGGTAGGTCCATAATGTGTGAAAACCAGGCTACAGGAAAATGCTCCTTTCACTCCCAAAGAGCCACTTTTAGAGAATGGCAACAGATTACACTCTTTACTAAGAGGGATAATCAGTTAATGAAATGCCTACTATGTGCTAGATCCTGTGCTCCAAGCACTTTACTGACTCACCCAGTTTATCCTTCACGATGACTCTATAACCTAGGTATTATTTCCCACCTTTAACAAGTGAGGAAACTGAGGCACATAAAAATTAAATGTCTTCCCAAGGTTACACATGTGGAAAATGAATGAGCAGAGATTTGCACTCAGGAAGTCTGGTACTAGACTGGTATTTTTGTGTT